CTCCGCTCGGCCTGCCCCGGACACGCATTTGCTGGCGCCACATGGCGGAGCCCGGCAGCTCCTCCCTGGCGCTGGGGGGAAACGGACCACACAGATCCCTGCCTTCACTTCCTACTGGTGGCCTCTCACCCAGCGCCTGGCACTGCCACAGGGGGTGGCACCGTCTCTGTAGATCACAGCGAGGGGTGGGGCTCTGCTGGGGGCCACACGGGAGCCCCAGCTTCATGCTGACCCTGGTTCCAGGCAGGGTGGGTGGTTTATGTCTGGGTCAGGCTGTGGGCTGTGGGCTGTGGCCTGCACTGCCCCCCCTCAGACCCAGGTGCAAGCTCTGTCCTCGGGTAGCGCTGTAGGTGCTGGGGGCTCTGACTGCTGAGCCATCGAGGGTGAGGGCTCGGTTAGCACCCCGCCAGGACCCACTCCCCACAGCGAGTCTGGCCTTAGCCTTTCATCAGCCGTCGCTGAGTGCTGAGCCCGAAGCCCGAAGACCCCCCGAGGCCGGCTTGGGCCCAGACTGACCCCGGGAGCCAGCTCTGGAGCCCTTAGCCTGCCCTCCCCCTCCCCCCTGCAGGCTATGAGGAGACCCTGACCCGCCTGGCTGCCATCCTTGCCAAGCACTTTGCCGACACACGCATCGTGGGCACTGGTGAGGTGCCCAGAGGGCTGGGGGGGGGCCCTCTCTGGCTGGCTATTTTCTGCATGAAATGCTGGCCAGATGGGCACGAGGCCCCTGCTGAGGCCTGCCCTGCCCCCGCAGACATCCGTGACTCGCTGATGCAGGCGCTGGCCAGCTACGTCTGCTACCCACACTCCCTGCGGGCCGTGGAGCGCATCCCCGAGGAGCAGTGAGTGGGGCTGGGGGAGGGCAGGTCCCTGCCCCACAGCCCCGGGCAGCCACACGTCGGGATCACACAGTCTGATGGCTGTAGCTCTGCATTGAAATCAGAGAGTGAGATCTCCAACTTTGTTCTATTTCAAGGTTTTTTTTGGCGACTTGGTGTCCCTTGAGATTCCATGTGAATCTTAGGGTAGATTTTTCTAGAACTGGCAGTGCTCTAGCGGTGGGGAAAGAGGCCTCCTCGCCCTGTCTCTGCTCTTGGAGGGAAAGCTCTCAGTCTCTGGTCACACCGCGCCCTCGCACTTAGCACCCTCGGTGCCTCTGAGAAAAGCGAACCCGCCCTCCAGGCGGCACCTGCTGAGCCCGGCCCGGCCTCTGGGCTCGGCTCTCAGCCACATTCTGGGCCCCGACCGGCCCTGCCCGGGACCCTCACCAGCAGCCCCCGTGCCGCCCGCAGGAGAAGATGCTGGACATCTACTGGCTGCTGCGCGTCTGTCTGCGGACCATCGAGCACGGCGACCGCACCGGCCCGCTCTTCGCCTTCATGCCCGAGTTCTACCTGAGCGTGGCCATCAACAGCTACAGCGCCCTCAAGAACTACTTCGGGCCCGTGCACAGCATGGAGGAGCTCCCAGGTGAGGCCGGGGAGGCGGGCGAGAGCCTCGGAGCCGGGGCAGAGCCGG